CTGCCTGGATCCTCTTTTGAACCAGCAGTTCTGCATCTAACAGCACCGCTGGAGGAAGTGAGCTGCAGTGTGACATGTTTTCAGAAAGATGTTTATTCTTCTGTTCATCTTTTTAATTAATTTGTGTCTTTATTAATTACAGTTTATTCATTTTGTATCCCAGCTGTAGCCCCTTCCCTTGTCTCCTCCCAATCCCATCCTTCCTCCCTCTTCTCCTCCCATGCACCATCCCCAGTCCACTGATGGGGGAGGTCCTCCTCCCCTTCCATCTGACTCTAGCCTATCAGGTCTCATCAGGACTGGCTGCATTGTCTTCCTCTGTACCCTGGCAAGGCTGCTCCCCTATCAAGGGGAGGTGATCAAAGAGCCAGCCACTGAGTTCATGTCATAGACAGTCTCTGTTCCCCTTACTAGGGAACCCATTTGGAGACTGAGCTGCCATGGGCTTCATCTATTCAGGGATTCTAGGTTATCTTCATGCATGGTCCTTGGTTGGAGTATCAGTCTCAGAAAAGAGCCCTGTGCCCAGATATTTTGGCTCTGTTGGTCATCTTGTGGAGCTCCTGTCTCCTCCAGATTTTCCTATCTCCCCCTTCTTTCATAAGATTCCCTGCACTCTGCCCTAAGTTTGGCTATGAGTCTCAGCATCTGCTTTAATACCCTGCTGGGTAGAGTCTTTCAGAGACCCTCTGTGGTAGGCTTCTTTCCTGTTCCCTGTTTTCTCCCTCTTCCTCTTCTGTTCATCTTAATAGCCAAAATCTGGAAAGAGCCTGTAATGTCTAGTGACTGGGGACTTGTTAAGTAAATGCTCCAAATTACAGATATTATATAGCCATTTATAGTTATATTTTGAAAAAATACACATGGAAGTATTTATAATGTAGCATTAAGGGAGAATACAAGATACAGATATTTCTATACTATATGAACTCACCTGTTAAATCCTGCATATAATCTCCACACATGCACACACATACAAATGCACAGATGCACACAAATACACACAGATATGTTCAGATCCACTCACATGAACATACAAATGCACACACAAAAATTGAAAAAAATGTTTCAGAACAATGTCTTCTTTTCTTGTTTTTGTGTTTTATTTGGTCATATTCATTAATAAAACATTGTTTAGAACAAGCATATCATAGCTTGATCAAAGCCATTCATTCATATTTTTGCATTTCTTATTTTGACAAATACAGGTGTGCATGCAGTTTAGGTATGTGTACTAGATATTATAGTATTAGTATATTTTATGACAATATGAATATATTACTATATTAATATAACTAATAATGTAAATCAGGTCAAAGGTGATGGGACATTGTTGACTGGTGACTTTTGGCTTCCTTTTTTCAGTACAGGGGACTGATGTTGACTATTTGGCAAAACATTCATTGAGATCTACCCTATACCTGTTATCTATGAACATGGTCTGATAGCTCAAAAATGATGCAGAGATTTATTTCCAAATAGGATAACCAAAAGCTAACACCTCAGAATGACCCATCTGTGCTCTAACACTCTGGGTACTTAAATTTTTAAGTGTTGCTAATGAGTATATTTGTTTATGCAAACACAAGCACCCACTGTGATTCATCCTCCCATGCTATCTTTCCTACTTGGCTTCACCCTTTCATTTTCTGCATCTTTCTTTTGTCCTTTAATTTTTTTCCTTCCTTCCTTCCTTCCTTCCTTCCTTCCTTCCTTCCTTCTTTCTTTCTTTCTTTCTTTCTTTCTTTCTTTCTTTCTTTCTTTC